ATTTTCTTGGTCAATTTTCACAAATCAAATTGCAGTTTAGAAGCATTTAACAAGCTCGCGGTAAAAAAAAATCAAATGTAACAGACATTGCGAAGTACCCAAAATTAATAAAATAAAAACTAACACCATAAAACGAATGGCACGCATAGACTAATAATTGACGGCTGTACTCGCAACTAGTATCGGATTGTCGATGCCACAATATAGATCAAAGGACTGTACGCACGCGCTATGTTCGAGAGTGGAGATGTGCGTCCTTTTGTTGAATTACCTTGATTGCAGGGCCCTTTGATGTTATAGGGGAATTCCCTAAACTTCTCAAAATTTCGTGAGAAATGCTTCTGTTATTTTTGACAATATCTAATTTTTGTAATTTAGATGATTTTTAAATATTTAGAAGTATGAATATAAAATAAAAATTAAATATTTATAAAATTTTGGGGATTGGGCAAATAAGTAAAGTAAAATTGTACCAGCAGTATGTTACTCGAAAATGGTAGGCCTATTCATTAATTTGTAGGCCTTTTAAAAAAAATATAATGAGCATATTGCATCATGTGTATTCGTAACACATGTTTTATTTTGCATACCGTACTGTTTATATTTCACGATACCATGCACGTTGTGTAATTATATAGTAGGCAGTTATTCATTGTACAGTATTATAATGTTTTAAATAATGCACAGTGTCTGTACACCTGTGTATTTATAACACAAGGTTTTATTTCTCTCCGTTCTGTTTCTGGTTCCTGTCTTTTTGTTCCCAAATCCAACAAACTTGTTTGTGATAAATCTTTCTCTTCCTCTGCTCCAAAACTGTGGAATAATCTTCCTGTTTCCATCCGAAATGCTTGTTGTATTGAAGTCTTTAAAAAAATCTTAAAAGCACACTTATTTCTTAAATAATCCTTTTTCTTACAATAAACTTTTTTCTAAGCGCCTTACTTGTATCCTTTGGCAAATGGCGCTATATAAATTTCTATATTATTATTATTATTATTATTATTATTATTATTATTATTATTATTATTAGGTCCTTTATTATTATTATTATTATTATTAATTATGTTTGTGTTTCTTGCACTTTATCTATTAATGGAGGTATAAACAACTCAATTCATCTAGTTTTGGCAGTGATAAAAGATTACATTTTGAACAAGTTATCATTTCGCAATATATACCTACATTGTTTTAAAATAGGCTTACAAATTGTGAATTGGTCATTATTTTGAGTAATGGTACTACCTTCTGTGTCCCGATATAACATTTTTAAGCTGGGTGCTTTTCTGGGCCCACTCTTAGATGACAAGGCAAGTCAATTTGTATGCGTCAAGGGCCCCGACTGTACTTTTGAACCAGGGCCCCTTACAACCTTACGCCACTGACTATTGCTTCACGATTTGAAAGCCAGGCTTCGGAGCAAAACAATGTGTGTACAACTGAGTTTTTTAAGACACATAAGGGTCAGGAACGGTTAATGAAACACAGAATTTTGAATATTTAAAAACTCGGAGGAAAGGGTGAAAAAATTGTTACTTCAGAAATTCAGCAAACATTTTCATCATACTCATATGGAAGGTAGACACAGAAGTAACGCTGCAATTTATAATTTCTTACTAACGTACTAGCCAGCTCTCACTCCTCTATTGTTTCAGTAGGCCTTTCAGGAAAAATTTGGCCCGTACCAATTTTGGCGTGACAGGCCTATCCACCAACACTAATCTGTTATTCTGTCCAGCGATGTTATACTGCTTTAAAAATCTAAATCCCAATTTCAACGGCGCTTTTCGTTTCTCTTTGTTAATCTCTATAGATATAAGGCCTATATTAGGTTCCTGCTTTGAGATGTGCTCATCTTTAAAAATGCCGACCCTGGGCCGGCCCTGATGCGGCCTCCACAGGCTGCTCCATATGTTTCTGTAAACTTGTGTTTCACTACAAGTAAAATCTAGGTCTGAGTTTGAATTTTCAATTTGATTTGATTATATCATGCTTCCTGATATTGCTTCCATAGGGAAGTAATTCAAATTAAGATAATGGTGATTTTAGAGATTCTAATACTGTTTCAATACTGAACTTGTATATCTGCATAACAAAATATTATATTTGGTGCCGCCACTGCAAGTCTCTAGTTTCTTATTCCCGAAAAGGTGTTTAGTGTAACCCTATAGATCTCTGTCGTCTAAGATATGACACTCGCCTTGATAGCGAGAGGTTGCTATTTGAGCACTGTTATTATTATTTACCGTACGGTATCCATTAACAC